TCACCAGCAAGGAGCAGCCAGATTGCACAACATCAGGTTAGAAGTCATATCGAATTATTATGGTTTTCTAAACCATAATTGATCAAGACGGTTGGACCATTCACTTTGGAAGCTGTTTAGGCAATTAGTTCTATTTCACTCCTGACCCGGTTTTTTACGAAAACTGTTGGATGGGTCAGACTGATTAACCTAGGAACCGTTTAGTCAACCGGTTCCATTTCATCTTAAAATCATTGATCAAACGATCGAATTGTCGACCCACCCACTTGGATAAATGGTTTTTAGCCATTTTTTATTTTAATTATTTTTTTAAGTTGTTATTTTTTAAATAAGAATGAACTGTCCATTTGAACCGGACGATTGAACTATTGAGCCAAAAATTGGTGGCCAAAATAGTTATAATTCTGAGTCGGTTTTTAAAACATTGATCCAAGTAGTTAAACTATCGATCCAAACAATGTTTTTTTACCATTTTTATTTTTTATTTTTTAAATTACAAATGTCCATTCATTCAGACCAAACAATCAAACTACTAACCCAAAAACCGATGACCAAAGCGATTTTAGTTCCGGATCGATTTTTAAAACATTACTAATTACGAAATACTCGATATAAGTACTCGATATAAGGATATCATGATCCAACAGAGGTGGGCCATAAACACCAAATCCGAAAAGAATCAAAACCCTAACCCAATGTTACACCCGAATAATAAGCTTAAACGGAAGTAGTCAGATAATTGTATGGTTTTTTTCACGGAGAAGTATGGACGGATCCAATACAATTTTTTTGAATTTTACTATAAATTTATAAACATTCAAAATGTCAAAAACCCCATTTTATACACGAATGCCCGTCCATGAATTGATATCAATTCGGAGCGGACACCTACCCAACTGTACTTTAAGCCAAAAAATTCCGACCCTGGGCTTAACCATCATTCTCCCGTTTTTTTCGCCTTAGTATTGGATGAGCCCAACTGCGTACACCTATCATGCTGTGGTACTACGCCAAAGCGGTTTCATTTCAATGTACACAAATATGTGATTGCTAGATGTGTAGTATAGATAAAAAGGAGACTTTAATATACTCTGCTACTTGATTCATTCTGTCGGTGTTTTATTCTTGGTAACTGGTAAGAACTGAGAAACCGAGAAGTGGAATCATACCGGTGCCGACAACAATCAGAGTTCATCTTGAGGTGAATTCCAAGGAAAGAAGGAAGTGATGTGATGCCTTTGTCAACGCTGACTCAATAAGGGATAAACATGTGGAAAGAAAGTGGAACACTATTATTATATTATTATTTTTATTAAAATAAAAGATAGGATTGGACATGGGGTCGGTAGTGGGATTTTGAAGCTTTGAATGAACAGTAGGAAGAAAAATAAATGAATGGTGGCATTTACTTGTTGAAGCAATTGATGGCTCAATCACTTGATCCTTATCCAGAGTTTGGTATGTACCATCTTCACTGACTTGTTCTTATTCAGGGTATTCTGCATCTGGGGGAAAGCCTCATGATTCGGGCCCCACAAATCAGCTGTTCTCCAGGATTTAAGCTCAACCCTTTGATTAGTATTTTTGGTCAAATGGGCTTGATTGATTAATATTAATCTTTGTGTTAGATATGTATCTTGTCTCCAAGAACTAATCCGGGGAAAGCTTAGTGGTGGGGTCCCACAAATAGGGTGATGGTGATCTACAGGATTAAGCCCAACCCTTTGATGAGTATATTGCTTAAATGGGCTTGATTGATTAACTTAAATTTTTTTGTCTTCTAAAGGGACTGAAAAACCAAATCTATGGTCCTTAGTCCTTAGTTCTTACTTAATGTGAACATTATGGATAAGCACTTATGGCCTATGGGCTATAGCCCTCCCTATACCCCTAGCCTATCAGCCTGAAGGCATATCCTTATCTTTTCCTTTTTTCTATGTTGACCATTCTCCTTTCCCTCGGCCTTCTCACCTTTCATTCTTTAATGGACCATTGAATTGAGGCATAACTAAGCAAAGTTTTGCCGACCTCGCCACTCGCCCCCAAATTGAATCAGATGTAGTGGGTCATTTCTTTGTCGGGTGAATGCCTGAATGGACGAATGGTGATGTAAACAGTCTCCCCAAATTTCACTGGGCGTGGACTTTTTTGCACCTTACAGGCCGTCACTGCAAGGGCCATGCTGGTGTTATTAAGTTTTAAGCCCACTTGGCCCACTTGATGTAATTTTTTGATGGGCTTCTAGGTGATGCATGTCAATCTGCCTTCCAACTTGTGATGGTAACCAGACATGAACAAAGAGATCTGAAAAATATAAGTTCATATTCCCTCTCTCTCAGGGAATATGGAGAAAATCAACTTGTCATAGATCCCCACATAGTCACTTTTGAGTCTGTACTGTACAGGTATTCAGAGGTTAAGGAGTGGGTAGATGATCATGCTGACAATAAGAAAAGAGGTTCACTTAACACATTTTCCCACAAAAGGCACAAACCCTTAATTTCTTTGCTTTTCAAAGGTTAGGAAGTTGTTATACATTTAGAGACACTTTTGGATTTTGAAAATTCCTCTTAAATTTCTAGAAATCAACTTGCTTCTAATACAACACAACATCATCTAATATATTCATATAAATATATTTATAATTAACATAGGGAAAATCTACGCTGCCAAAAAGATATTGTACAGGAAGGGCTTTGAGCAATCAAAATCCCCCTGTAAATTTTTATCAATACCTGGTTGGCACCCATAACTACGAGACAGGCATTTCTCAAGGGTTCCCATATTCAGAATGCCAGATGGTTTCACTACATTCGAAATAGACCTGTTCATGGGCCAAACTTTGGGCTCATCTTTGCACTTTTTGGGGCTTGGGCTTTGGATTGGGCACATTCAAAATTTTGGCAAAATTTAAGTCCGGGCCCGGCTCAAAAACAAGTCTAATTTAGAATCTTTTTGGGAATGAGAAACAAGTTTGTGAAGTTGATGTGTTTTATTTTCTCAGGTTTCTTCTAGAGCTCTTGTATAAATTGGGTAAATTCTGTCTTTATTTCCATGCATTAAAATTATAGAAAATAAAAACATAAGAAAAAGTGTTGAGACTTGAGATGACGCTATTGGCTAAGCGTAGAAGGTACTCCCGAATTCCGATTGCCCTTGCCTATAATGGATGACGCTATTGGCCAACTCCCATACCGTTTTTGTTTTTATCATACTTTTCAAAACCGGACCGGAAAAACTGGAAATCGGTCGGTTTCGTTTTATCCGAGAACCGTTATTTCCCCAAAAACTAGAGGTATAAATCGGGCCGTGTCACCCGTGGTCTGGGACGGCCAGCCTGACATGGCTAGGCACGATGGCATGTGGGTCGTGTCAGGCCTGACACGATGATCCATGTCGTGCTGGGCCTAGGGTTTTAGGTTCACAGGTTGGCACGGCACGGCATGACCAAGCAGGCCTTGCCGTCCACGGCCCGGCCCGACATGGCCCATATATATATATTTTATATTTATATATATATAATATTATATTATACAAATTATAATTATATAATAATAAATCGTATATAATATACTAATAAAATAAATAATTGTTTTCAATTTTATTATACTAATTTATTTAATTATTGTATATATAAGCAATTGTATACATCAAAATTCATAAAATTAAAATTTTATTTTTTTTTCAATTTTTTAAATAAATAGGCAAAAATAGCTTTGGCCCGGCTTGGCCCACAGGTCAGCCCGGTCCGCACAGGCTTGGGCCGTGGACCGTGCCGAGCCGACCCCCAAACTTTCATTGGGGAGGGCGGAAGGCCCGCACTTTGCACGGGCCACTCACGGACCGTGCTGTTCTGGCCCAACACGACCCACTTTATACCTTTACCCAAACCCATTGATTTGGTCAGGAAACCGTTGACCCAGGCAGTTGAACCATTCGAACCATTCAACAGTTTGGCTGATTTTTATTTTTTTTTGTCAGAACTAGCTGTCTATTCGATTCAACCCGGGAACCGGACCCTTAACCGGTTCGTTGTCCGGTTTGATTTTAAAAACCTTGGTTTTTATGTTTGGCGCGTAATTACCCAGCTTTCTAGTTTCTACTCTAGAAATCCCAGAACTTGACTCGACTCGGAGGTCTGTTCTGGTCGAGTTAACTCCGGAGTTAGCAGGTCAACAATAAAATTAGTCTCTTGCTTGTTTCGTAGGTTGTAAGTTGTAACTCCATTCCGAATTGACCCGGAGAGCTGAAAGTTGAAGCATGAAGCAGGAACGGCCCACTGTATTACAACTCTTCCTTCCGGTGGGTAGCCAGCTGCTAGATATGTCCTTTCGGGTGCCCAGCTGAGGCCTTGGTATCCAGATTCCACACCATTAGAATTTAGAATTTGACTTACCAAGTTCAATTACCCGGGCTGAACCCACCTCTACCAAATCTCGTTAGTTGTCATTAGTCATTACCAGTCCAGTTTGAAGTTTTTCCCCATCTATTCTGTGTTGTATTGGTGCCTTGAAATCCACTTGTAAATCAGTTTCATGATCCCATCTGATAAAGTTGAGATTAGGTCCCAATCTCTCTGGACTCCGGACTGACATAGGATTTGGTTAAACTTGAGATCCTTTCTTGGCAGTTCTGTGAGGTTGACCGGAATTAGGGGTTTTTTCATATAAATAGCCTTGTACCTTGCACAAAAAGCCATCTTATATCTTGATTACCAAGAAAAGAAAATAAGAGTGTATGAGATACAAGAGGAAACTTGGGCTGTATTCGGAGTTGAGGGTTTGGCGAGAAGGCTGTGAAATACTGTAATTGTAATCTTCATTTTCTGATAGTGAATTTCTTCTCCTTCGGTTGCTTGTGGACGTAGCCTAATATGCCAAACCATGTAAATCTATGTACATTTTGTTCTTATTTATCTACTTGTCAATGATATATTTTGTTCCTGGGTTTGTTAGCATCACAACATTCTGTGATATATGTGAAAAGCCTATCAAATGGTAGGGAGAAAAAAATAGATGACCTTGTATGAACTGTGAAAAGCTTTTATCTATCATTTACAAATTACAAGCTACAAAAAGGGGAAGAAAAGAAAAAAAAAATACAAAGAGACTACATGGATAATCAAAACTAAACATAATACATCATCCCCACCTCCAGAGTAGAGGCATGGGGGATGTTAAGTGCGTATGTAGGTCCTCTGCAGTTTCTCCTAAGGAAATCGTAGCCAGCATTTATTACCAGTTTCTTTATTAGGCTTGACCCCCGTTTCGCCCTCATGTAGGAATGTCCGAGAATGAATGCCATCCCTGCTTCTCTTGCCTCCATGAGTTCCCGCAGCTCATCTCGTGTACTCGGATCCATCCGTGGGCTCTCGGGCACCACGAACCTCACTCTTTTCTTGGGCTTCACTGGTGACTGTATCTCCCTCAGCTCTGATGGGCCTGCCATTTTAGCAGGATTCTCATCATCTTCATACACCTGTATCCCTTCTAAATGAGTTGAAGACGTCCCAACAACTGTCATTTTCTCGTCATCCTTGTCCAAGTCCACTGATCCTACATTGGGTTCTGTTTTCTCTGACCTGACAAACTCTGCTATACTACAAACAAGATCCTTCTCGAAGTCCAAGTCATCCTTGTGGACATCACGATATCCATAACGTACAATGCACCTATACAGCCTGTACTGCTTTGGGCCAATACGACCCACAAGGAATCGTTCCTCGGGCCGAACATATGGGACAGGGACCGACTTGATGCAGAGGAAAACCAAAACCTGGTGGAAGGCTGGGAGATTGGTGACAAAGTGAGAAAAGATTGCAGGGATCCCAGAGACAAGACCAGTGTCAATAAGCCCAATGCCTCGTACACGAACAATGCCCAGGCTGGGACCCAGGCTGAGGATCCAATTTATAGAAACCTTGTTCTGGACATCATATTCGTACTTCTTGAGTGTGCCGTAGTGCCACACGTACATGACAATCAGAAAGATGAAGGCAAGGGCAATCGGGACCCATGCACCTTCAAGGAACTTGATAAGGGAGGCTGAGAAGTAGAGTGCCTCGATGGTGCCGAAGAAGAATATGAAGCAAACAGCTAGGAAGACACTTTGATGCCAGCAGAGGACTATCACTAGGGACATCAAGCAGGTGGTGACCAGCATGACAGTTATAACCGCCAAACCTGTTACAAAGGGAATAAAAATAAGTAGAACAGCAATAAGCACGAGAATAAGGTAATTCAGGGAAACTTGGTTTGATATGCAGACTACCTTAAACCACTTCCATTTAATGTCATGCACCAAGTTTAAATTTTTAGTTCTCAAATGGACTCCATTAAAGGAAGTAATTACTTTAGATTGATTGGTGATGTATTCATTTGAACAATGTGAGTCCTTGTGTTGTGGTTCTTTTCTATTTCATTTTCTTCTTCTATTTTCTACACTGCCATCAATATGTGTGGTCATGCTTCCCCCAAATGGTATCAAAGATTATGGCTGTGCTCTGTGCACATAAAGATTAAAATACTATTTTATTTTCCAAATCATTGACATACCTGATGCATTACCCATCCGCTTCGTATCTCTGAATCCAATGGTAACTGCCAAACATAGCAGCATTAAAATCCAGTTGATTTCGGGGATGTATATCTGACCATGTATTTTAGATGAAGTGTGAACTATTTTGACTCTTGGAAAGCAACCCAAGGCAGAGCACTGTTTGATTATGGAGAAAGTCCCTGTGATGATGGCTTGACTTCCCACTACCGCTGCAAGTATAGCTATTGCCAGAACTGGCCATCTTATTTCCTCTGACCATTAAAAATTTCAACCAGATGAAACTCAGGAGGTTCATTTAAACTCTTAATGCCTAAAAGAAAAGGCACGGTTATTACCTGGTACTGATACATAGAATCCAATCCTGTAGTCACTTTCAATCATGTGATGCTTGGACAGATAAGCTGCTTGTCCCATATACGCAAGTATCAAAGATGGATAAACCACTAAGGTGAAAGCAATCTGTGGAAAAAGCAAGTCCATTATGCAGAACCTAAACATCTCAAATTCTGAGTAAAATAAAGAAGTTTTATGGAATCATTTATGGTCAACATAAAGAAACAAGACACAAAGATCAAAATCATTAGTTGTACTGCACCATGGAAATTGATGCAATAAATAATTAACAAGTTATATCCGTCTTAAGCAGAACAGCTAATGGGAGAGTGCATTTTTTAGTTACCTAAATCAGAGAAAGTTTTGAACATTTAGAATTCCACTAGAAGTGTTGCAGAGAAAAATTTCCCTTTGCAAGTTGAGGAATTTTTGGTAACAAATAAAAATGAAAATTCATTAAGATAGAGAAGAAGAAGAATTACAAAAGGGTGATAAGGATTCACCCACATATCAAGGAAAAATAAAAAACACAAAACCCCCAAAACCCTCAAATTTCCCTTCCAGCTCTCCAATTTTAGCTCCCCAACCCAGAGCCCAGACATCCAAACCTGAAAATACAAAAACCAATAGGGAACAAACAAAGAAGCTTAGACCCCCAATTTACCTGAAACAATCTAACTGACTGACCCTTAAAACATCAAACCCTTTGAACAATGACAATAGTCCTCCCCTTGATGATCATCACTCCTTTCAAATAAATGCCCAATCAGATGCGTTATTCACTAGGTTCAACAACTGCCTCAAGAACCTCTTTGGTCCTTTTACTCACCCTCTTTGTCTTTATTACCCTACTATTGGGTCCAACCCTAAATAATTCCCCTTTCAATCTGGCAAATACTTTCGAAACATGAACAGTCCGGGTACTTTTCTGATTTCTGAATCTTCTAACTGCATTAGGTATGACCTCAGCATCCTTTGAAGCCTTGGTGTTAACATTAATTTTTTCTAATCTAAAAACACATTCTTCTCAAAGAGATGATCAGCCACTGCCTCGCCACTCTCTTTCAGCACACCCCCCATCTTTTTCTACAAACTGCAGCTCAACTTTGTCTTCCAAATTTCTGACTGTGACTCCAGTTGAGGATTCTATAATATTAACTACTTGAAGTTGGTTCCTTGCAAATCATTAATATGCTAAGTTTAAATGTGAAAAATAGCTTACATCAACTCAAAAAGGGCAAATAAAGTGATGAAGTAATTTTTGAGGGTAGGGATGCATGAATGAATTTGCAGAGATAAACCCAAGGAATTGCAGAAAAGAGAGGAGAGCAGAGAAGGATTTTCATTCAGCCCTTCTGTAGTCTGATGACCATGTAATTGTCACAATTGGTTGTGTAGGTAATAGGCAAAGAAATTTCAAATTTGATCCCAAGGCATGCACACACACACACACACACATTAAATCAGTTTCTTTTTAGATTGATGCACTTCTTTTGGAAAGAATTAGGTGACTATTGTAATCTTCTTCTTCCTGTTCTTTCTCATATCTTTTATAAACTCAGCAATTAGGTGAACCCTGACACAAAAAACTATATATCCTGCAGGTGTCTCTTTTCTATTGAAGGGGGCTGCTGAGTTGGTTTATAGTTACATCAAAGGAGCAGTGACTTGGATGTTACTAATGGTGATGGTTTCCAGTCTGAACAGCAGCAAATTAATAGATCTGCAGGCACATGATGATATTGTAACAGCAAGAAGGTTAAATAAGAGAGGAGCATCAAATGTCATGACTAAATAGAAATAATACAAAAGTCAGCAGTGAGCAGACTGATTCAATCACAGCAAAAAATTTTAATGAAATTATAATGTCATTTTGATGGATAACAAGCAATCACCAAATTACTCATAAAAACAACTTCCATTAATCTACAGAGGTTTAATTGTTATTTATACCTGGATTGACAGCTGGGAGAAGTGTCCAAGATCAGCAAACATAGCTTCTGAACCTGCAAATGGGGAATAAGTATTAAGGGGGAAAAGCTTTTGGGGTAAACTGCACGACAACTGATGGTAATTAGTAATATTTATTTACCTGTAATGCACAATAGGATCCCACCTAAGGACATCCAACCTCCTCTTTGTGTTTTCTTCAAAAACTTGTACATGTAGTAAGGAGAGAGTGCTTGATACACATGGGGGTTCCAGTGGAAAATATTATATACACCAATCACACTGATGCATAAAAGCCATGTTATAACAATTGGTGCGAACATGAATCCTACTCGGTGGGTGCCATAATGCTGGAGGGCAAATAAACATACCAATATGACACAGGCAATTGGAACCTCTACATCTGAAATTTTATAAAAATTGAACACAAAGGAAAATTAAAATAGAACCATGAAATATATTATTTAGTTTAAATATACAACATTCAGTGAAAAAGATTATGGAATGAACAGATTATAGGCCTATGGATAAATTTACAATAACATTCCTGACTTTCATTGTGCAGGTTAAAAGTCAATAGGCATTACTGTCATATATTCAATATCTAATTTTAGCATATGCTTTCAAGAGACAAAGAAGTAATTAATTTCAATAAAAATTATGGCAAGTTCCAGCTTTTCAGAAGGACCAGTGTATGGTGTTAACATGTAGGTAATTCCTTGCTTACAGGTAAATATGTATGTCTATTATAGATGACATAAATAAGTACACTACATTTTATTCAATATTATCCTTAAGAAAATATTAGCAATAATGTATGAGGTGTTTTACATGTTTATTTCCCAATGCATCATTCTATATAGATTGTTCTATATATATGGTCAGCAAGGGAAAAAACGGTAACAATAGCCAACATTCCCAAAATGAGGACCAAAGTAATTTCCAGACAAACTGAGATTACACAAATGACAATGCATAATGAGCTGCTACATTTTGAAAACTCAACCCGAATTCATTAGGGATTATGCCCCACTCCTGGCACATAGGCAGACATAATATACACAGAAAACAAAGCAAAAAGATATCCACTGACTCCGCACAATTCCCTTCAAACTATGTCTTGGTAAATAAAGTCTAAAAACAGATAGGAAGCGCCCCAGGTCTCATGAAAATCTGATTTGTGGTTCCAGAACTGTCAATTGAAATTTGATGTTCAAGCAGGAGCTACATCATTTCATCAGGAACAGGACAAGGAGTTTGTACCTATGGTCCAAGAGGTCCTTGTCCTTAATAATGCAGCCAGTCCTTTCTCAAGACAAGGACCACTAAAAGACCATAACAGGCTTTACAATCTTTTCCCAAGCTCTAAATCTTGGGAAACCAACAAATCTGGCAAACTTGATTAAGGAAAATATCAGAAAATCCTTAACAGAGAGAATCTTTACATTTTTCTTCTTTCTTCTCTGTTTTCTAATTTTTCCATTGGTGAAGCCAATTGCTGGTAGGAAAAAGTAAGCAGTTAGCTAGTAGTATCCTTGAATCTCTTGGCCCCATCATTATTTTCAAGCTCAAGGATCTTTTGAACAATCTGGCACTCCAAAAGAATATGCATCTTTGAATATAACAACAGTTTCTTTCCCTCTACAAATTTGCATTTCTTAATAGAACATTTCTCTAAAGTCTAGTTTAGAACCCAAATCTGATAGTAGTTAAACAGGTTGGAGTTGCCACCTGTAGCAAATAAAAGGATAGAAAATACTAAAGTACCAGCTATATTGAGACAGTTGAAAAGGCTAAGGAATAACAAGGAGTACAAATTAAGACAAAAATGAATGTTCAACATAAGTGGGGACCATACCATGCAAAAAAAAAAGGGTTTAGTGTTGCTAAAAATAAAAATAAGAAAAAAGAAAAAGCATGACTTTGATGAGGTTTAGATGGAAAGGCAATAGATATGGTCATTTTCAGCATTTCTTAGTCTAATGGGCATGACTCTAGAATAGGCCAAACCTACCATGCATGAGCTCTTGAGAGGAATGCTAACATCAAAGAAATTGTAACCGTTCAAAGAACTTTGAGACTAAAACAAGTTATAGCAATGCTGCAAAAGAACTCAAAAGGTAATACATATTTGACAGGAGTCTGCTCCATTAACTCTCCATGAAAAGGTATGCATATCATTATATTCATACCTTTACATTTATCAAATTTGTGCCGCTAATTAAACTGAAGTGGTTTTTAAAATGTTTACAGGCACCAATAAGTTTGATTTCTAATCTGTCCCAGAATATGTCTACCAAATGTTGCTTTTGGTGATAGAAAATAAAAATAAAAGTTTTCAAAATCTTAATACCATGATAGCTGAAATATTAACAACTGAGAATGTAACAGATATGTGGGATGACTCATCCAGGTGAAACTGGATAAATACTACATTTATTAAGCAAAAAAATATGTTTGTTGTTTGGATGTTGAAAACTTGAGTACATTTGCATGCATACATAAGAAGGAAAAAAAATCAACTTGTGGCATCTAATGTTAGATAGTCCATGTTTGTATACCACAGGTTTGAGCCAAAAATGTGACATCAAAAGGTAACAGATAGGTCAAAGTGACATGAACTTTTTTTTTTTGAATTGTAACAGAATGGTTGGAGAAGGGAGTTGCATTGAAACAAGCCAATATAGAAATAATCCAGAAGAGGAAGCATTATGATGCTCACAAGGAGTAAAAGATGAAAACTACAACAAATAAGTTGATCACTAAAATGACAGGAGTTATAATGATGATGATCAGAGGGAAAATGAACAACATAATGAATAAGATGGTGAAAAGGCAACAGTCTCTCTCTGCCCTCTCAAGAATGTGATTGCAAAGGTCAAGACCGTTATGTAGGCAGAGGCTAATGAATATCCTTCTTATGATATGTTGTGTACAAAATTTGATGTAATACATACACATCTATAAGTACAGTAGGATTATGACATGTAGAATAAGTCACTTGGGCTTGGATAAAAGCACTTCTCTTTAGAGAGACAATCAAGAAAGATGTCCATTTATAAGAACCTGATACGTTCCATTTTTGGTAAGGGAGCACTCTTTATTGGCAATCAACAAAGTTATTACTCTTTGTTTATTCTCAATAATAAATAATAAACAAACAAAAAGTGGGAACAATAAGTTGAACTTGGATAAAAGCACTTCCCTTTAGAGAGACAATCAAGAAAGATGTCCATTTATAACAATCTAATACATTCCACTTTTATTAAGGGAGCACTCTATATTGGCAACCAACAGTGATTGCTCTTTATTTATTCTCAATGATAAATAATAAATAATAAACAAATAAAAAGTGGGAACAAGAAATTGAACTCTGACATTTCCTAGATTGGAGCAGAAAAAAGGAAGAAGGGGGTAAAAACAGAAAGTGGATTCACTACTTTGTTGAAGCCACAATTTGGCTCTGAAAAAATAATGCCACAGAATCCAGATAGTGGCAAAAATTTACCACACTTCCTTCGTTTAGGCAGAAAGAGAAATCCAGGGTGGGGGTGATCTTTCATTTCCATCTGGCTTTTCCATTTCTACCCACCCAATCCTAAAAAACAGTCCTAAATTATCTCCGAATGCTTCAGGCAAGCAAAAGAGGCTGGATATGAATAATTATCTATGCAATATAAGTTAAAAGTGTCTAAGTTGTCTCCAGTCCTCAATCAATCATGATGTTCTATTTAATAAACTCAAAACTCAATTCGTCAATTCCACAACCCCACCTTTGTGATGGAATGTCTGTTGTAGCATGCATCCCTTAATTATAATCCATGGATTTTGCAATGTTAATTGGCTAGAAGGGTGAAGGCACACAATAAACCACTTTGTGGAAGATGATAGTGATCTTTGACCTTACTAAACTAGATTGATTGAAAAATTGCTTTTGCTAACCAATAAGAGAAAAAGTACGTTTTTGCTACATTACATACAAATCTTCCGCCTGCTGATCTATTGGTCACATCAAAGATAAATTAAGTTAATCAGCGGTAAATTTTGTAACTTCGGAAAGGAATCTACTTAGCAGAGGACAGATAAGATTTTTGGAGTGTTTTTAGTTTCTGGAGATTGGTATAGACTTTTTTTTTTTTTACATGTAGATAGACGTCTGTAAATGATCCCTGGCAGTCTAGCTTAGGGATAAACTTCCCCTACGTTAAAAATTAATTATTAGAAGGGGGAAATTGTTGTCATCTTCAGATCTTATTCAAAGATTAAAACCTTACTGAGCGTCTTGTAATAGAGAAAAGAAGCTCAATTTCTCACGCAGGGACACCAATCCCCTAAGCCTACTCCAGCCAAAGTTGGACCTGTAGCCTGCCGTTTTTAAAGGTGATTGCAGAGATCTTAAATATAAGGTAGTTCAATGATCTTACATTTGTGATGCTCCTTAGACATCGAAAGCTCAAGGCCGGACACCGCAGAAAAAACTGCAAGCAAGAGCATTAAAAAAATTCCATGAACAGAGATCCCGAATTTTCAAACAGAAATAGAAAAAGAAACTCAAAGTACCAGAAATTGCAGGAGTGAGGACCCCGTCACCAATGACCATGCATGTTCCAATCAAAGCCAGAATAAGCAACACTCTCTGCAACACCTTGTGCTTCTCTAGCGTCGATTTTAACTTCGAACCGTAACTCGTGTCCGGCGGACCAATGCCATCCTTCTTGTACGTTGATAGCTCCTCATCTGCGACCTGGCCACTGGGCAAGAAGCTGACTCTGGCGTGCCGGCACAGCAATGAATACAGCGCAAAAGTCCCACCTTCGCCGTTATCGTCTGCTCGGAGCACGATGAATACATATTTGAGCAGCGGTACCAAAGTAAGAGTCCAGAACACGAAAGACAATACCCCATAAATCTCCTCGTTTGTCTCTGAGTGCTGAATGTCCTCCGCAAATGTACTCTTGTAAACGTAGAGAGGAGAAGTGCTCAAATCCCCATAAACAACGCCCAAGCTCTGATAAGCCAGGGTCAAAATAGTCCTCCACGATTGTTTCTGCAATCACAACAAACAACAAAATTACTCCGATCAGAAAAGTGGGACTACACGACGCTCTAAAACACCGCACTGGCGCATATTAGCAAAAACCAATCTCACCTTGACAGGGTTCCCATAAACCCCACTTTCCAAATCCATGGCGGGCAAACTCAAACTCCAAACAAATCCATTTTCTACTTCAAACTTGAAGAGCACGAAGATTAAAGAAAAGACCTTCCTAATAAGAACACTTTGAAAATGCAAAAAAAAAGGAAGTTTTAAAATGAATACAGAGCAACCGGATTATTGTTTAGGATTATAAATTGCAGTTGAACAACCATCAATGGCGACATCTGAATAGCAAACACGAAACTCCACAAGCAAATACAGAAAGCGAGCTTTGAAACGTCGAGGGTGGTTGGATTAAAAGAAGACGATTCTAAGAAAGTATTTTTTGGTTGCGTGGAAGAGCGCGCGTGCGGTAGGGTGAGAAAGTTTGTTTTGTAGTTGTTGGGTTTGTGCGTTCGCCAATTCTTGTTTCAGCTGCCCGGTCCTCGGTCCTTCGTCACTTGTTCAGTTGTTTGGTTCTCTTTTCTCTCTCCCTTTTTTTAGCTTTTCTTCTCTCGTCGGCCTTTTCTTTCTCCACTTGGCTCTGCGAGAAAGAAGGAAAAACTGAAAAGGTTAGCCAAGTGCTCTGAAAACGAGTAGGCAAAACGGGAGCTTTGTTTAATTGTTTTAACCTTTAACGTCTAACGCTGACACCTCAGTAGTTGAGCAGAACACTTCCCTTTTCTTTTTTTGAAGTGTTTTAACTTTGAAACGGTTAGCCAAGTGCTCTGAAAACGAGTAGGCAAAACGGGAGCTAGTATTTCAGAGGTGGACTGAACGGTAAAAACCCCCTTCTTTTTTATTTTTTTGAAGTTGAACAGAACACTTGGTATTATTGACCAGATTACTTGTGTATTGCAGAAGAAATCATGAGAAACAAATAATTTGATGACTCGAACGGGTGGGCTCAGATCAGCAAGGGTACGTCGGTAGGCCTTGGTGGTTTACTGAGTTGAGTAAAATTGCCCCTGAGATTGACATGATTCCTAATCGACCAAACCAATTTAGACTTTTCGGATGGAGCCTCCACCAATGATATATTGGGTACAGCTGCAGTTGCACCTCTGAGGAGTCCCGAATTAAGTTCCGAATCTTTGAAATCTGGACAAATGATTGCAAGAATCCTAAATTTTGCAGGCGCACCACCTAAGGGTATAATGTCAACCTTGGTTCAGGGTGTCAGCCCGGTTTAAATACGACCCCACTTGGGGGACGTGGACAAGTCTCAGCCATAGGGATTTGCATGCTTCCACCAATTATTTATGTGTATTTTGTTGAAACTGATATTGGTTTTAGGATTTGATCAACCTCTTCATCTTTACTATATATAATGCCGATACTTATTTCCCGTTCAGAATATCTTAATGGTATTACAAATTCATAGTGTGGTCACAGGTGGAGATTGTCGAAAATTTTCAAGTTTTGAGGTCTATGATATGGAAAAGATATGATATCTAAAATATTTTTGACTAAATCAACTGGTATTATGATGAATTTTGATTAGTAAAAGTTTCTCTTCATACCATATCTTTTCTGCATCATAGACTTTTTTTCATAAAATCATCGAGTCAAGATGTTTAAAAAAATAGAAATTTTCAAAATTTAAATGCATTTATCATCTTTTTACCCTTTTATTTTTACTTGTATTTGTAAATGATACATGCCACTATATTAGTCAATATAATTGATACTGTATGTTTTTTTTTCCATTTATAAGAATTATAGGGATGAGATCTGTCAACCTGAAGTTTTAAACCTTTATAGGGATGAGATCTATCATCCTAAAGTTTTAAACCTTTGAAAATGTGCATGTATTGACCTATCCATTCGTGTCTAGATGTATCAATAAGGACCTATCATATCAATATTTTAATCATTGATATTAATTTATTAAATTAAAACAAAAGAAGAGTCAAGACACAAAAGGACGTGTTTTAATAGGTAAACGATACAATTCCTTTTAATAAATGAAGTAGCAGGAATGGAATCGGAATACAATATCTTTGAGAGAAATCTCAGTAGCAAACTGAATTATTTAGGATCCATTTGGTTCGCAGTTAAAACCAGAATTGGAATTGGAGTAGGCTATTCCCATAGTCTGTTTGATCCAGACAGAACTAGGAATGAGAATTACAATTAGTAGAAATGATATTTCATTCCCAAGAGAGGGGCAAGTAATGATCATTCCCTCAAATAGGAAAATATCAGGAATGGAAATGAGATTCTGATTCGGCCCAACCAAACAGCTGGAATCGGAATAGCCCATTCTGATTCCGATTCCAGATCTCTATTCCTAAGAAGCAAATAGGGCCTTAGTAAGTTAACCCAACTCAATTATTATAAACCTAATTATGGATCTTAATTCAAACTTCAATTTTTTTTTTTAAATAGCAAAATTACTAAACATAATAGATCTTACCCAAAGTTAAAAAAAAAAGACCGAAAAGGACTTATTTAAAGACTTATAAATAATAGTAAAATTCCTAAGTAACCGATTCTAGGATTGTAGAAGCAAAACCTGACTTTGTATGACTGTCATCTTCACATGTCATATATATCATTCGGCACCAAGACCCTCCAATCTAATTTCTTCTACTCATCCCGCTCTAAGAAGTCCTCAGTCACAACCAATAAGTCAATCAGTTCAACGAATTCAGTCATTATCAAGCAGCTACAACAACAGCATGCTTGCAATGCAATGCCATGCTAGCTTATATTGTTATTCTCCATTCTTAGCTAGTGTTAACTTGGGCAGGTTTTGAAGAAATGAACTTAATTCCATTTTGTCTTAATATAGTCATAAACGACACTACTGTAGATTAAGACATCGTGCATTAAAATTCCACTATAAAATCATTTCCACTCACATGGCCTAGTCCTGGTGTCCAAACATGGTGCAACTAAGCAAACTAAAAGAATTATACAATAAAGGCAGCTCCTTTACAAGTACCAGTAATACCCAGGAATCTGAAAGTAAGTGATCAAGAAAAGGATAATTAAAAGAAATTGAATTCAAGACCTCACAACCCATTGCCTGCCCAGCACATGGACGTTCATGTGATTAGGGATCAAAATTATTCAAAAATTCAATGAATATGTGTGGGTCTCAAACCTGAACCTCTCAAAGTGAATGGAATCCAGTTCCAGTCCACACGTGCTTGTCCCTTAATTTACAATTGCTTGACACGTGGGACTGTTCAGGGTCTCTAACAGCATTGGTTTAAAGAGTATAATAAACAAATCAAATGGAAGCCCATGTTCTATGGACCCCATTGAGGTAAAAAGGAAACAGAAAGAATATAGACCAGCTACTTCGCTAACTGCCCTTTACAGATGATGATATGCAATCAACTTGCAGTTGCAGTTTTTAGTCTAATAAAAGTCTGAAACTGTGATGATTTTACAAAAGTAGCTTCTTTTTTTCTACATAAAAAGTGGAGTTTCGAGTTTGCTGGAACTATGAACGAGTTAATCTAGTTCAATGAAGTCAATTCATCGTACCTTGCGTATATACAGTGTGGTATGTTACGAGTAGATGAAAAATTGAGAAGTCCTTTTCCCTGTTGTTTTCGATTCAAAAGGAGAATTTGTGGAGAGGGAGATAGCGGGATCGTGCATCAAAGAAATCTCTGGAAAGAGAAGGAAACAGAGCAGATAAGCTAGTCCTATTATTTCATATTTTGTTTCGAATATAACTAATTTAAAAGCATAAGCGCCTACAAACAAACAAAACATGACACAGAGTAAACCTATCACCTTTAAAAAAGAAAGAGGAGAGAGAGAGAGACTTACGTATGCAATTGTTCGGCCATATTGCCTTTTCTGAGTGGATTTCCAGTGATTTGTGGCAAGTCGCTTCCACTTCTCTCGGTCTTTTGCCGCCTCTCCTGTCTAACTCTCTTCAGCCTTCAGCTGTGGTTTGGTCTTCGATGAGATTAGAGAATCGTTGGAAACATAATCCACGATTCCGATCTGGATCTGATTTTTTGTTGGAAAAAAAAGACAATAAAGTAAAGATGGATAGACAACCTATGTAACTCGATCAATCTTTCATGTCATGGTGAACGAGAAAAGAATTAAATAAAAGGAAAAGAAGAAAAGATTCTAAACTTCAATCGTTTATTTTCTACTGGTTTTGGTGTATGAAGTAGGTATAACTAAGCAGGCTGATTCGATTATGAGTTCAGTTTTCAAACAAGATCGGCTATATAGACTTTACGATTAATCTATTTTTGAAATTCGGCCGCAAGAACAGTGACGGAAAAAGAGCTATGGAATCAAAATTTAAAACCTTCAACTTCAATTCAGTCTTTGATCCATGGATAGAGAGAGAGATAGAGAGAATGTGAAAAAGAAACGAATAGATAGATCTAGATCTGCAACGCCATCCTTAAGAAAATCAGCTCTTGAAACTTCAAAGAAATCCGATTTCAGTATTTGTTAAACGATCGAAACACTGTAACAGCATTAATCGTTGGAATCAGCTGGTAATTCAGTTTATACAAATTATAAATTAGGGGCCCGGCACCGAACATTCGGGTGCTGTGATCCTCCGTCTGCTTGAACTGTGGGCTTTTTCCGGGGAAGTGGGAACTCAACAACCCTATAAACTGTAGACTGTAGACTAGAGAAGAGTGATAAGCATGGAATATGGATATGATCGTACTTTTGGCGTTTCTCGTCCAAGTGGCCCTGCCTAAACCTGAATATCCACCGAGCCCTGGGCCACACTTGAATAGCTCTTTTCAATCCTTCATTCCTTGACCGAACATTATGGCATTATAATTAGGCTATGTTTGGTTTGATAGAAAATAAGAGGTAGAATAGAGTTGAAAAAAAAAAGTTAACGAATCCCTCAGCTTTCTCCTTCCATCTTTCTTTCTTATTTTCTATGACACCAAATACAGCCTTAGAGTTTATTAGACCGGAGATGCAGGGTAATGCGTACGTTAGACCTGTAGGATCCAATGAAGAGGGTGGTGTTGTATTTCGGATTCATCAATACAAATTTGTATGAGAGAGATTTTTCTATTTCAAGCGTCTTGAGTTGATTTTTTTTTTTTGTCTAGAAATAAAGACATCATGCTTGGCTAAATGGTCGACAACAACATTGCCTGTATGATGAATGAAAGAAATAGAGCTTAAAATCATGAGGAAGCTCCTACACTAACAACAATATGATGAATATGTCATGGAACCTCTAGAGTAGGGTTTAACAAGATGTTAACTCACTTTGGCATGTCTCCTAGAGAAATGGAATTTAGACCCAATTGCTTAGCAAAAAGAAGCTCTTCCTTTGAAAGCCAAAGCTTCAATTCCTTCTGATTGGCTTGGTGCAACATTACGAGCACATCCCATGTACAATAGACCCCAATAATTTTTGTATTATCATTTCAATGCCGCAGCCCATCCGGTAGGAGGCACCATCCCACCAGGGTTTTAAAAACCTACCACTGGAATCGTTCTGGCCTCATCCGGATTGAATGTGTTGGATTTTAATCTCATAAGAGATTAAATCCAATGGGTTTGATTGGTCAATTATATGAGAAATTGCACCTGCACACTTGATTGAAAAATGAGTTTTTTTCTTACAAAACTCAGTTTTGAACTTGTCCCACATTAGAAAATTATAAGTTTTATTTTCAGTATTTAAATAGGAGTTGATTTACACTCCTTAGAATTAGTAGAGGAGAGTATGGGGATTCGATACCGCGCAACGCGCGCGCGTGTGCAGCGCAATGAGGCGCTTTAGAGGCGCACTTTGGTTTTGGTGCGTTGCTGACCATTGATCACTGTTGATGAGATCAACGGTCACGATTCGATCAAGTGTGATCAAGAGGCACAATTCAAAGTTATCAGTCGCTAACTGTTAACTACTTTTTAAACAGTCACAATGTTTGAAATTGTGACTGTTTAAGGTGCCTTCTCTAAACCAACACCTACATTTTTCTTCATACCTCTTCACAAATTATTTAAGGAGCATGAATCAGACTCCAGAACACAATTTCGAAATTCACTCTCTCTCTTAGTCCGGTCTGCTACAGTCTCACAGAAGGTTTCTTTGGAGACTCTTCAACTTTGCTAGTTGTAGATTCTCGCCCAAGGCTCTGTTGTATCCTGTGAACGAATTTGCCTGTAACCCAACAGCAAACCCAGTAAAACTGAGTGGGGGCAAATAACGTTCTAAAGACAGTATCTTCAGACGCACCTCAAAGCTTCTCCTCCAAAGTTACAATGACCCCATTTTCATGGATGTCCCATTTCAACAAAAAATAAAATAAAATAAAAAATGTCCAATACCATTGAATATGTCGATGGTTTGACCTCCTGAGTCAACAAGTCATTTACCAATTGAACGGTTTTCGGGCCTAATTGTCCAACCATCCAGGTCAATTACGGTTGGAAAACATTGCCACCCACATTTACTTTTAGCATCAATGGTGCAAGAGGACTTCAAACCCATACACAACTCAGTGTATGTATGGAGCTCACGTCGTCCGTATTAGGGAATTCAACATGTCACTTATATAATTTTATGACCAACAGACTCCAATGAGCTAAAAAATTATGGGCATTTGGTGTTGCACTTCTTTTCTTCGAGGTATCTTCCCAAGGAAATTAACAACACAAACTTCGCTTTCATTCCTACCCACGATCCCATGAAAATCTCACATTTCAGATCCATCAATCTCTGTAATATACTTTACAAAATTATCTCCAAATGGTTAGTATCCAGAATGCAGCCTCTCCTTGAGGAGATCATCTCTCCTTTCCAATCTGGGTTCCTCAAGAACATGCAAATTACAGACAACATTATACTAACCAAAGAGATATTGAACTTCACGAAACATCAAAAAAGGGAAAGATCTCATAGTTCTGAACCTAGACATGTCCAAAGCTTTTGACATAATGGGTTGGCTTTTCAATAAGGAAACACTTAACAAAATAGGCCTTCCTGTCCAATGGATCCAACTCATCTATCAATGTATCTCCACTCCAACTTTCTCTGTTAAATTAGGAGGTAAATGTTACGGGCATTTCAAATTGAATCGAGGCTTGAAACAAGGTGATCCTCTCTCCCCTAATCTTTTTATCATTGGCATGGAAATACTAACACAAATGTTAGTGTGTGCTGAAAACGAAAGCTTCATTAAAGGTGTTAGGATCTGTAGGAATGGCATAAGTGTCACCCACTTGTTATTTGCATATGATTGTATCATATTTTGCAAGGCAAATCTAATGCAAGTGAGAGTTCTGAGCCAAATCCTAACCACTTTTGAACAATTCTCTAGACAAAAGGTTAATTATGAGAAATACTTCCCATATCAAGGCGTCACCGCAACTCTGCAAGTTTTTCACTCATATTTTGAAGATGAGAAAACAACTGCAAGGTACCTGGGTGCTCGACTAGGGGTACAAGATAACAGAATCACAACACACCAATCCCTAGTGGATTGGATGATGCTCAAAATCACTGCCTGGAATTTTAGGGTCTTATCTCAAACAGGTCGTACAACTTTAATTCAATTAGTTCTACAAGCCATCACGATTTAATCCATGCAGTCTACCATCCTCCCGCAAGGTATGCTCCTACAACTAGACAACTTAATGAAGGATTTTTGGTGGTATGCGGGAAACAAAAAAACAACACATACGATCTCTTAGAGTAAAGCATGTCAATCCAAGCAAACTGGTGGACTAGGTTTCCGAAAAAGCAAGGATATGAACAAGACGGTTTTCGGGAAACAAGTATGGAGACTCATTTCCTCTCCCAATTCTCTCTGGAGTCGAATAATCAAATAAAAATACTTCCCAAATCAAAGCCCCTTCCAAGCCAAAATCGCTCAAAAGTCATCTACATGGTGGCTTTCACCACACAAAACTCTCAAAGAGTTAAAGCCAAATGTAATATGGCAAGTCTGCACGGGAAGGGATATTTCAGTCTTTTCTGACCCATGGATTCCAACCATGACAGGGGGTATTCCAAAGCCAAAAGACAACACCATTGAGACCAGCAGCTCCCATTATGTGTCATCATTACTAAACCCAGATCGGAGTTGGAACCAATCTATCTTGTCTCAGCTCCTTCGATGAACCAACATGTTCACACATTCTCCAAATCACTCCCAACACAGATTCCTTGCAAGATAGTATATTGTGGAAACGTAATTCCTTGGGGATCTACACAGTGAAATCAGCATACAAATCTTTTGAATCTCAACAACCATCATCCTCCCAAACATACTTCCCTTGGATGAAACTATGGAAATTGAACGTCCCATACAGATGCATAATATCAGTCTGGAAAATGTTATGGAATGGACTTCTCACCCGGTACAAATGTAAGAAGTGGCTTCCCCCATCTGAGATAAACTGTCCCTTTTGTACATCTAGTACTGAAACGGCTCAACATACTTTCTTTACATGCCAATTCACAAGAGCCGTTTGGTGTGAAGCACAAGTTGGTCAAAACCCAAATGACATCCGAGACGAGGAAGACTTTTTTATCTCTATTAAAAATTGGTGGGACAAAGTGAAAAGACACCTACCTTCGCATGAGGCCAACCAGCTCATTGGGAAAGGTTGCATAATACTATACATCTTATGGCGGGCTAGGAATGAAATCATTTTTGAACATGCAAACATCACTCCTTGTGATATCTTACTTCGACTGAGAAGTTATCTTCCACATCAGGAACAAAGGACATCAATAGCAAGGCACATATATCCAACAAATATAACCAGGAGCCATTCCATGATGGGTCCTTTGATTTACAATTGGGTCTTGCAGGACGAGCTTTCATCATCAAATGCTCTTGTTGGAGGAGAGCCACGTTGGGCCATCAACAGCTATGATGCAAAATTCAGAGCCATAATTCAAGGGCTAAAAAAAGCCAAACAGATGAGAATATCAAAGTTAAAGCTGCACTGTGACTCTTTGCAGCTGATCGAACTTTGCAGGATAGATGCCAACCAATGAAGTGGATCGAACATCTACATAGAGCTCAACTAACAAAGCTCCTATCCACTTTTGAGACACTTGATTTTGTACACATAAATAAAACATATAACATGGTAGCTCATACGTTAGCTTACTTAGCATGCAAGGGGCAGGTTAAAATATCCTACAACCCAGCATTATCTACAAATGTACAGTTATCGATACCTTAATGAAGCGTTGGCTGCTTTTCTTTTGATAGGAATCCTAGCTCCACCTAGGGGTGGACTGAACGGTAAAAACCCCAAAAAAACGGGCATTAGACTCCAAATCTCCAAATGATTTTAATATTTGTGAAAAATTAAAACCCTCTCAATCCCCTATTTTGTCTGGACTCTAGAGACCTCTTTTTCCCTTTCCCTCGTTCTCTCCCTTCCTCCACTGTCCCCTGTCACGAGCTACCACCATCCACCAGTGACGGTTGCGTCGCCGATACTCTCTCTCTCTCGACCTGTACTTTCTATCTCTCTCTCTTTCTCCCTTCGATCGTTCTTTCTCTTTCCTATTATTCTTTTGCACGAGGACAAAGAAACTAAACATTACCAATGATATGGGCGATCCAAAAATTG